TTTACATTCATAATAAAAAATATAATAAATATACTTTTATCATATACTTTAAAAAACTCATGAATAGGTGGATGAGTTGACAAAGAACTTTTTCAGTTTAACTAAAAGTTTTAATTTCAAGTTTTGAAAATACAATTCCGTTAAAACGCATGAAAAAAAACTTTGTCGCCTGTTGAATCTTACTTCGCTTGAATCCGAATTAATTAATAATCTAACTTAACTTTTAAATATTGAGTGATCCAAACAAAAAAATATATATATACCTTCTTTTTTTTTTAACATTATATATATACCTTAAAAGCACAACATAAAAACAATCGTACTAAAATTGTTCCTATCCAACTACTTTTTTTCTTTTTTTTATAAGACACTCCAAACTCACTAAAATCGGGACAAAACATCAAAGATATAAATAAATTTTCGGATGAGGCAGACCCACACAGCTGAATAGTGTGGTGCTCTTCGCGTCACTATCGGCCCTTGATTTTTTTGTTTGTTTATTCAGAAAAGGAGATTTAAAATATAATAAATTCTGTACGTGTTTCGCTTCGGTCAAAGGATTGTTGCACGTGTCAGCCGAATCGCGCTCTCTTCGTGCCACCTCTCCACTGTTTTGCAACGGCATCTCTCCTCTACACTTCCCTTGACTGTCCATTTCTCTCCCCACGACTTCCAATTCAAAAAATCCCATTTCTCTGCTCAGACTCCCCTCCTCTCCGCCTTTCCCCCCTCTTCTCTGTACTGTAACTGCCGCTTTACTCAATCTCCAGCTTTCACTATCCCTACCAAACGTCGATTCTCAATGTCTTTACCTTCTGCAATTTTTGTGGATTTCTTGCTTTTTTTGAGCTCAAGTTCTTGAGGGCCTTCTTTAGTAAGTTTCAGCAGCAGTGTTGCATGCAATGTAAAATCGCGTTCCATTTTCACAACATTCGGATTTTAATTTCACCGAAAATAATTGCTACAACTTCTGTTTGGATACACATGCACTTCTCCGGTTTAGTCAAGTACAGCCGATTTAGCAAGATCTTGGATGTTTTACTTATGACTATATTTTTAAGTTTGTCAATAATTTTTTTTTTTTTTATGAATGTGATGTGTAATATATTGAATCCAATGGTGTATCACTTAGTGTTTTAATTTCACTTTTTATTCAGAAACTTTTACGGAATTTGATAGAACAGTTTTTATTTCTGATGCAGAATATTGGTAAGCTAATAGGGGATTTTGAGCGTAAAATTGAGCAAGGAAAGTGGGTTGGTGCGATGGGGTTGTTTGCTGAGGTTGTGGCTACCATAATACTGTTGGTGACAAAGCCATTTTCACTTTGCAAATTGATAGGTGTGTTTTATGTGAGAACAACTTGGATTGTTATTCGAACCTGGATTGATTTCATAAAGGCTGCTGTTTCTTTCCATGTGAACTTGATTTTGAAGGCGATATTATGGATGATTGGTCTTGTATCTCTTCCTCTACAATTCTTGATGGCTTTCCAAAGGGAGAGACTGGTTAGTTTCATATAATCTTCTAGATAGGTTAATGCTTTCGTTCAGATCTATCTTCAAATGTTCATGCAATCGCATTTCGTGTTCCTTTTTTTTTTTTATTCACACTGTTTCGGTGTTGGCTAATAAGTAGACCTGAAACTGGTTAGCTGATGTGAAATTTTGATGAAATTAGGAAAGGGGGCGAGGTTGTTTAAATTGAGATCGAGAAAGCTCCTTCGCAGTATAGTTTTAGGTACTTAGGTTTGATAAACCACAAAGTGGGAGAACCCTAAAGTTTATATTAATCAGAGTGTGAGAGTGGGTTAAGAAATGTGTATATGTTACATATACTGTGTGATTGTAAGTACCTATACTAAGATTAGAGAATATTGGTTATGCTTTATGGCACAGAACATTAAGGGGTTAGAAGAGAGGAAACTCATTGGAGAAGCTATGATGTAATATGCTAAGAGAGTTCACAAGATCGGCCTTCAGTACATTAATGAAATTAATATGTGAGTAACTTAAAAAGTGTTACATGGTTGTGTAATAATGTTCTACTTCCCTGCTTGCTTTGAGTTTTATGTATCCTTCTAATGCAAAAAGAGGGCTCTCCTGCCTTGCCATTGATATAGACATATGCTTACACTTTTCAGCTGGAAAAGCAGCTTCATGAGTTGCAGTTTGAGTTGGAGACTCTTGTTTGGGACAGGAAAGAGCTTGAGGACCATCTGCAGACAGCTATTAAAGAACGCAGGATAATGGAATCAATACTAATGGAACTTGAAGAGGAACTTGAAAGTGCCATTGCCAAAATTGAACTATTAGATGGCGAGGTAAAATATTGTATCTGCCTGGAAGTTTGAAGAGTTTTCCCTTTTTAGGACCAATAACTTCTTACTCCCACTAAATCCATCCCCTTCCCTAGCTCTTCCTTCTCCTGTGCTTTGCACAGTGACTCTGTGAGTAAAGAATTAGAAGAAAGTTCGGACAGAGAAACCTTCTTGTTTTGAGGAACCAAATTCTAGATTACTGTCCTATACAATACAAGTTTTCTTTCACCATATGAATAAATGTCTGCATGTGAAGTTTTGTATGGTACCCATGTAGAGGAATGATGAAGTTCTGATAGATTTCATTAATATTTTGATGTTTAGCAAGTCCAAGAGCTTATGAATGCCTCATAAATCATTTTTCCACATTTATCTCTATCTAGAAAAATGTTCCTATATAATTATTAAAATTTATAAAGTTCCTACTTTCAGGTTGGTTTTAGTTGAATTAGTTTCAATGGAACTAGCCTGACAGGAATTGCAGAGTGATCCCATCATTTGATCACATTGGGGGATTAAAGGTAGTGAAAGTCTTCATGAAAGTCGTAGGATATTTTTATAGGACTGTAAGTTTGATGTTGATGTATTTTGCTAGAAGTTTTCAGAGGAAAACAAAAGCCAGATGTCAGATGTATGGTTTGCTTACATACTAAATTTGTTTATTTTCTGCCAGTTGCAAGAGTTGAAGGATGAGAACCTTCGCCTGAAGGAAATTCAGGGTAAAGCAGCATGGAGCCTGAAAGGTCATAATGATGCTGACGGTGGCAAAAACATTGGTATTGTTGACAACCAAAGCGTTGCCTATGGTATTTCATCCTGGAAAACCAGTTATATGAGTGGTGGCATCACCTTCCAAGACCTGATGATAAACAAAGATGGATGGGAGAATAAAACCAAGAGTGATAAAGAAATTTTCAATCTCATAAAAGCTGACCCTACTTCCAGTGGATCCATGGACCCTCATATGCACCGTGCTGTTCCTAAAGATTTAGAAACAAATGAAGTTCTTGGCCAAAGAAGGGAGGCTGCACTCTCACAGAGTCTTTTTAGTGCAGTTTTATCACTTTTGGTTGGAATGATAATCTGGGAAGCAGATGACCCATGTATGCCCCTGGTGGTTGCTCTCTTTACTGTTGTTGGCTTGTCACTCAAGAGTGTTGTTCAGTTTTTCTCCACCATAAAGAACAAACCTGCTTCTGATGCAGTTGCTCTCTTGAGCTTCAATTGGTTCATACTTGGCACACTTACTTATCCTACATTGCCAAGGATTGCCCTTATGTTGTTTCCACTGTCCTTGAATCTTTTGGATCAGATAGCCATTTGGTTTGGCCTCTCATTCAACTAGCTTATACGTTTTTGTGGTTCTAGGAGTTTAGATACCTATGTACAATAGGCTTGGAACAGGGAGTTTTCTTGTAATGAATGTTGTATGCTAAAGTGTTTCAATCCCTTTCTGCATCCTGCATGCTTCGACACATATCTGGTCGTGTGTACTTCTATGAGTATCACTTGTTAGAGCATACAGACATGGATATGTGAAGTAGGGATATAAACCAGTGTTCCCTTCAAAGCTATAAATATTTCTCAATATTTTGACAACAACAACAAGTATTGTTTCTTAGAACTTCTAAATTCAGTGCAGATTCTGTTCAAATTTATTTCAGTCAAGGATATCCATTTCAGTTCTAGGTGCTTGGGGGGACAGGGAAAATACTTCCATTGCAGAGGTCAGTATCACTACTAATCCAGGTTTGTGAATTATTTATTTATGTTTTTATTTTATTTCATTTTTGTCAGGATGGGGGGCTGCAGTCAGCTAACCATAACCTCTAATCAAGTGGCTGACTGGAGGAAGTTGGCTGAAGGAAGTTGGCTGGTCTTTATCTTTTAAGACTGACTTGTCGTTAATCCGGTGACATTTGTCATCTAAGGACTCTAAGTTGGTCCTGTGGTTGATCTTTCAGATTTAAACTATTTGTCCACCTTCAGGATATTCGTATTTAAAGGCGGCAATCTAAAAATAAAGATGCACATCAAACCTGTGGGCTTAGCAAAAGGGACGAAACATGTCAGGGCTAGACAATTTTGTGTGTATATCTTTTTTGCATATGGTCATGGGTATCCTTTATGCCACGTTACCGCTTCTATGGTATTCTGTGCAATTAAATTCGGTATGGGGCCGCTACCATGTGATGGATCATGACCATCACCATCTTTTATGAAGAAATGATTAATACTTTGTGGATTGATTCTTTGCAAACATGGCATACTTAGGGTGGAATTGCATATATTTTGCTAATTATGTGAAATTATTTTTGTGTGGTACCTATTGCCTGTAAAAACTGCTTTTACCTTGTCGGCTTATCCTTCAAGTTGGTACTTTTTCCCTAATTCAAAAAGTTAGTATTTAGCGCAATTGGTTTGATAGGCTGTCATTCTGTCACTTTTTTTGCTCATCTTTATCTTGATATCTTGATGCTATTGTTTCCTAAAATATTTAAATTTAGCATTGACATTGTTAAATATTGTTTGGTGCATTTTTGTTCCTCTTTTTCGTACAGCTAGATGATGCACATTCTCCCTTATCCGATTGCCTGGACGATAACATGAAATAGATATACCAATATACCAATCAGCCGCCAGGCAAAGCCTCAAAGGTACTGGTTCATTTCAACTATTTTGTCAAACTTTATGTAGTTAAACTGAAATACACTGCACCTTTTCTCCTGCATGTGTATGTAGATGCGGGCAGGGAAAGCAGACTTTAATTGTTTCTCTAGCGAAGAACCAGTTGGCATCTGCCTTACTGTCTATCAACATGAGCCTGGAATGTTACCAGTAAGCAGGCAAGACATGAATGGGTCATAAAATAAAACTTGTAAGTGTTCTGTCTCTCAAAAGATAAGAAAGGTCTTGAAGTTTATCACAACCATTGAAAGTGATACATTTTGCTGATATTCTATTAGCAAAAAGGGGATGTTCCCAGTTTATATTCCATTTCTAATATGGTAGTAGATAGAGAATTTCAATTTCCAGTAGAATCCAAATCTTCTAGAAGTAATAGTAGTTGTTGTTAAAAAAGAAAGAAAGAAAATAGTGCTTTCAAAAGCCTTGATAAGGAATTGAGGCAGCTTAAACTGCTGTGGACCAGGATTGGCTAAAAAACCATGTGCATGGATAAGTCTTGGTCCTCTTGAGTGGCCCTACTCTTAGATAGGGAGTGGGGACAATTTGAAAGTAGCTTTAGCTTGAGCTTGAGTTTGAGAATTTTTGGTACAACCCACCATTCCCAAGGAGGAAGTTTTGCATCTTTTTGCCACACAGGTTGTTATTGAAGAATTACTCAACTCTGGGGAATTTAATAGGATGTTTATGAAAAAAAATTGTCAGTGGGGCCTTAGAGCTTACGGTCTTAGACGCACAGTGTTGTTCAGATTTTGAATAATTTTGAATCAAACTCTTAGTTTTATGGGTTTAAGTGTATGGAGTAGCTGAAAGAAATTTCCAAAGTAAAAATGATTGCAACCTGCTGTTAGGAAATCCTAATTAAAAACATGAGCTGAGGTCCTGCAAATAGCAATGGCCTTAAGGCTTTAAAGTGAAATGCATGACTTTTGGGAATAATAAAATATCAATAAATTCCTGAAAACTTTCATTATTCTTTAAAACAAAGTAATTTGATCTAGCAGTGAACATCTCGGCAAGTAATAGTTGGTTTCTTATTTCGAGATTAATAGATATTTAACAAAACAGTATAATTTAATGTCACTTACGTGCTCCACTCACTTTCTTATTCTGTTTTTAATTTTATAATATAGATGTCTCAGTGTACGATTTCACATTTTTATTTCAAATGAAATTGATTGAGTTACAATATTTTTCCTATAATGTTTTATGCAATTTAATGATGTAGTCATATATTTTTGTGACTTTTTTTACTTGATGAGACATGTGAGTAGATATATATTGAGTCATTTCATGTCGGTTCACATTATACAATACATTGTAGGGGAAAACAGTGTAGCCCCTTGTTCTAAGAGGCTACATTTAGAATCATAGATAAACGGTCTTGAAAAAGCAGCCCAGAAAATGTTGCTACTTTCACGTTGTGTTGCTTAAATTTTAAAAAAATTTCGCATTTCTATGGATTCATTTTGTTTGTGCTAGGACAAGAGGTAATCCTAAATATCCCCATCTTAAAATATTTGAAGTCCGCCGAAGGAGCCTAATCAGGTACACGCATGTCATTTGTACTTTTTCATAGAAATATATTTACTAATGCAAAGTAGCTAGACCATCTTCATGCCTATACATGATTAAGTAAAATCTCCATAAATAATGTTTTAAAACACATAACAAACTATTCTACTTTAGTTACTTCCAAAACATGGAGAAGTTGTTTAATTATATTGTCATTCTGTCACACACACAAACAGGGGAATTCGAATGGTGATGATTTGATTAGGTTTAGTGGTTAAACGCCTTAGGCTGTTTTGCACATAGGATTTTGATTCCGTGATTAGAAGATAATCTAAGAAAACTTAATTTTGGTAGTTGAAAGACCGAGATTTGAAGATGTATTTTATAGAAAAACAAATCTCTCTCTTTTCTTTAGTTTTAGTGACATGACAGGTAGATGGAATATAATTGAAATTTGAGAAGTTTTGAATTTTGGAAGAGAAGGAGAGAAGTTAAATCTAAAGCTTTCAAGCAATTAATTAAAGAAAATCATAAAGTACTTAAGTTTTTTTAAGATAAATTATACATTAAAAATATAATTTGCCCTATAAACTAAGGTAGTGTGGACCGAAAAAGCATCCTCATCATATATAAATTATTTGTGTTTACTGTCGAAGAAACTAAGGTAGTCTCTTAAATATTTTAAAGATCACTAATGTGCTTTTGGTTCTTTAATTCCATGTTCCTTCACATTTAGATGTGATCAGTTGGGAAGAGATATATAATACGGACATTGTAAAAAATCTACGCGGTATGACATTGATATCCTTTTCATGTGATTGATGTTTCTCTCCTAATTTCTTTGCTAGCTAACCAACAAATTA